ATGTAGAATTCAGCTAATGAGATCTATCATGTGACCTGAGCACTTACCTTCAGGACATCAAGTCCTTGTGCCACAGGGACACTTGCACACGTGTCCATGTAGGACTGCTCACAACAGCTGAGTTATGGAACCAACCTTAGCTGTCCACCAACAGAGAAAAGGATAAGGAAAATGTGGAATATGTACACGATGGAATTATTTTCGGCTGTAAAGGAGATCAAAGCTATGTCATTTGCCAAAAAAAATGGATTTAAATGTAGATAATCATATCAAACAATTTAAGGCAGTTTCGGAAAGGAGAAGATTTTGTGTTTTCTCTTACTTGTGATTCCTAGACTTTATATAGTCACAAAACATGACCTGAAATAGTCTAGGGGAACAAAGAGGACTAATGGGGGGGGGTCATGGAATGATGTAGCTGGGGAGATATACATGCCATAATATACACACATACATGTAAATAAAGAAATTTAAAAATAATAAAATTTTAAAATTGAGGTAAATCTCTCTGGGTGAACTTCTGTGAATAGATAAGAAGGCAAAAGTTTCCCACATAGTACAAAATAATGCAAATTTTAGTAGAAAAATACTAGGTAGGAAAACAATTACAATGATTTGAAAAGCGTTCACTGGAAACTTGGCAGAGCTTGCTGACCATACGGCATACACACTAAAACAACTCTGAATTGGTTATTCTAGAGAGTCCAATGCAGCCCATTTTTAAAGTTCTGTAGAGACAAAAACAGATTCCGACCTTTTCGGGACCCAGATCGTGGAGCTGATCAACATATGTTTGGCTGATCAATGGACAACGAAGATTAAACCCAGGGTGAAGCAGAGAGCCTGCCTTGGTGGTCTTTCACACACTGGTGAAAGCGAAAGCCTGTTTCAATGTCAGCTGGCTGTTTTCAGCCACGCTCAGGGAGTAGGTTTGCTGCTGGTACATGAATGGTTCGTAGCAGTCATAGCAGTGGAAGATGGCAGCCAGCAGGCAGGTTGGCAGTGGCTGCCCAGCCAGCAAGAGCTGCAGGAGCATCTAGGATGGCGGCTGGGAGCCTGAGCACAGGGTGTGCTGCAGTCACTGGTTACAGAGGCTGGTTTCCAGTGGGTGGTCCCACAGCAGGGGGCTTTGTGGGCTTTGCAGTAGTCCAGTAGGCAGTCAAGGAGCAGCAGGTGTGGGTCCTGGTGACTCACATGGAGGCAGGGCTTCTGAGACGAGACAAGTTTCTCCTCTCCTGCATCTTCTCTATTAGGTCTTCCAGGTACTGATGTCCAGCATACAATAAAAAAGAATTTATGGTTTATTAGCTTTAAAAGTTGCACCAATTGAAATTTATAATAGGACAGATGAATCAAAAATTGGTATGGAAAAGAAATAAAATGAATGCTGTTATCTTGAATGCTAAATTTGAAACAATTTGCCTCCCACCCGTCTTATTCATTAATTTCTTCATAATTTACAAATGTACCATACTGATATTTTTCTACTGGTCATTTTGCTATTATATACCGAAGCCTGACTTTTTTTTTCTTTTTTTTCTTTTTTATTGAGAAAAGGAAAAAAAAGTTTCTGCCTCCTCCCAGCCTCCCATTTCCCTTCCCCTCCTCCCACCCTTCTCTCCTTTCCCCCACCCCTCTCCCCCTCCCTCTCCAGTCCAAAGAGCAGTCAGGATTCCCTGCCCTGTGGAAAGTCCAAGGTCATCCCCACTCCGTCCATGTCTAGGAAGGTGAACATCCAAACTGGCTAGGCTCCCACAAAGCCAGAACATGAAGTAGGATCAAAACCCCATGCCATTGCCCTTGGCTTCTCATCAGCCCTCATTGTTCGCCATGTTCAGAGAGTCCGGTTTTACCCCATGCTTTTTCAGTCACAATCCAGCTGGCCTTGGTGAGCTCCCAATAGATCAGCCCCACTGTTTCAGTGGGTGGGTGCACCCCTCGTGGTCCTGACTTCCTTGCTCATCTTCTCTCTCCTTCCGCTCCTCATTGGGACCTTGGGAGCTCAGTCCAGGGCTCTAGTGTGGGTCTCTGTCTCTATCTCCATCCATCTCCAGATGAAGGGTCTATGGTGATATGCAAGATATTCATCAGTATTGCTATAGGATAGGGTCATTTAAAGTTCCCTATCCTCATCTGCCCAAGGAACTAACTGGGGACATCGCCTTGGGCTCCTGGGAGCCACTCTAGGTTCAAGTCTCTTGCCAACCCTAAGGTGGCTCCCTTAACTAAGAATTGTGCGAAGCCTGACTTTTGTGTATGATGTATCCATTTTTGTACCTATTTTAAATACCATCCAAACTGGAGAGATTAGAGAGTTAAATGGTTGGAGGAAGAGGAACAACGCATACTATGCTCAGTGCAGCAATGAGACGCACCCAGAAAGGTACAAGAGGCCCTGGATGAAAGGCTACTGCCATTTAAAAGGGACGCCTGCTTCTAGAGGTGAGGAGTTGATTCAATGAAAATCATGCAAATGTCCCTTAAAAAAACAAATAAAACGGCATAGACAACATGGCAAGACCAGAATGTCTGGAAAGGCCGCAGTCAGAACACAGCAACAAACACAACGAGGCTAGCTTAGCAGCAGGATACAAACTCCCACACTGAGCAATCTTATGTTTCTGAAGAGTCACGCAGAGCCTCCTATAGTCATTTCTTGTAGCTTCACTTACTTTGATTAGGGCTGTGTCTAAGCGAAGCCTCGGCTAGGAATTCTGTGCTACCCCTGATACTGGCAGCACTTCTGTTGTTAGACTGTGTACTGTCAACCCAATTTCTTGTTGTTCTTGCCCATCAGTTCTGGGTTACTATTACCTTGCCAGTATGCCAGCCTCGTTTTCTCCATTACACGTATGCTTGTGCTGAGCCATCACTATATCTATATCTATCATCTATCTATCTATCTATCTATCTATCTATCTATCTATCTATCACTATATCTGTCACTCAGCTGGTCATGCCATCAAATCTCTTTTATTTTATTCTGCTTTTCTTAATGGAGACAATGTCTCATGTAGCCTAGGCTAGCCTTAAACTCTCTACTTAGATGAGGCTGGCTTTGAACTCCTGATGTTCCTGCTTCCAATTCCTAAGCACTAATCTAGGAATGTGCCACCATATCTGGACTAAGAATTTTTGTGAGCAACTATTTAAACTATCCAACAATTAAGTAGTAAATTCCCTGTCTCATTCTGCTAGATGACCAGAGGTTTCATGTGACTTTATTGACCAAGTTTGTTGTCATATTATCATCCTGGGCATGCCTTGGCCTTTTTAAGAGAGTCATGTGACTGTGCCCCAATAAATACCTACTCTCTTCATATCATAAATATTTGTGGTCATTAAGCATATCTGAAGGTTCAGATTGCTGCCACATGGACAAAGAAAATAACTTGCATAAAACATCCATATCATAATAGGTACCTTGAACTATTAAGTCTTAAATTTTTGATGAATTTACACACATCTGTAGAAGCCAAGACAAGCTGAAGGAGACTTAGATGGCAGATGAATATTTATATTTTAATAAAAGGAATTATTACTCAAAAGGTGGAAGAGTTATTTCCCCATATTATTTTTCTTCCTTTGCACAGAGAGGACTGGTTCTCTCCAAAAAAATAAGTGGTCGTGGCATTTGGTTCAATTAGATCGAGTAAGCATGCATGCACCTACTCTGACCTTGATAGTGATTTCCTTGCAATACATTTTCACTTCTCTAATAGGTCAGCTCTCCTATTTTTATAAGCACTTGACCTATGTTCAATATCACTATCATAAATACATGGGGAAATGATAAAATGACAATGTAGACTCAGACTTTCATAAAGCTTTTTTTTCTTTTTTTACAAATGATCATTTGAAGATGAAGACTAAAGATATAAAAAATTTGAATAGAAATACTTTCAACTTAGATGCAGTATCTACTTATCTACCATCTATCCCATCTTGAGCTTAACAAATTGCGCCTCCATAGTTTTCATATACATTTAGACTATTTATAAATGGCATCAGATTACAATGACTATCTCAACAGCAGGAATAATGTGCAGCTTTTCGTCCATCCTAATGTAGTGAAATTAGACAGCATTACCAAGAATTACCATAAGAACTGAATGGGGAAACTTGGGGCTCAAGGCAGCCAAGGACTTGAATGCATTTTCCTTCTTTTTATTATTACAGCTCCTATGTAATAATACAAAGTAAGGATACACTACAATACAATAATGCAAACAATACAACAAATATAATAATACAGAGTTATAAGTTTACATACAGGTCGGCAGAGAAGCCTGCTTCTTAGCCCAGCATCTTCAAGGTTGTATAAAATGCAATAATGTTATTTGTCTTCTTAAAAAATGTCTGAGGTATGTGAACATCATTTACCCTAACTATTCTCTAGAAATTGAGGAATATCTCGGGCATTCCTGTGTTCCTTCCCACATTTATTGACATTGCATTTTCCCTTCTTGGGAAATATGAATATGGAATGGTCTCGTGCCCATGTCACAAATTCATTTTATCCTTCATAATCTTCATCCAAACTTCGACAGTCAAACTTTCTTCTAGTACCATCACAGTTTACTTTTCAAGAGTTTTTTAGGATATAAGAGACACAGGACTAGTATGAGGCCCCACGATGGCACTTGGATTGTTGTATGCTATGTCATCTTGTGACTATCAATCAATTGAATCAGACTAGGAATTTTTAAAATTTGATGATACACATAAGGAAACAGAAGAAGTGACTCAGGAGGAAAGACTGATTTGATAAACCCTGACCCTGAGAAAGAAAATAATGCATTCCATTTAACTTTTACATAGAGTCTTCCACAATTAACTAATTTAGTGACTGTTTGTGTATTAAGAGAAACAATAACAAGGAAGTGACCCTTAACCTGGTAACAGCATCAGGGTATAAAAGGGGACAGGGAATAAGGAGGCTCACATACTTGAGAAACTCCCTCTCTTCAAAACCTCTCAGAACCTCCACTTCTCATACCATGGTCAACTCATGTTGTGGCTCTGTCTGCTCTGAGCAGGGCTGTGACCAAAGTCCCTGCCAGGAGAGTTGCTGCCAACCCAGCTGCTGCCAGACCACCTGTTGCCAAACCACCTGCTGCCGCCCCAGCTGTGGAGTGTCCAGCTGCAGCCGCCCAGTCTGCTGCCAGACTACCTGCCGTCCCAGCTGTGGAGTGTCCAGCTGCTGCCGCCCAGTGTGCTGCCAGACCACCTGCCGTCCCAGCTGTGGAGTGTCCAGCTGCTGCCGCCCAGTGTGTTGCCAGACCACCTGCCGTCCCAGCTGTGGAGTGTCCAGCTGCTGCCGCCCAGTGTGCTGTCAGACCACCTGCCGCCCCAGCTGTGGAGTGTCCAGCTGCAGCCGCCCAGTCTGCTGCCAGACTACCTGCCGTCCCAGCTGTGGAGTGTCCAGCTGCAGCCGCCCAGTCTGCTGCCAGACCACCTGCCGTCCCAGCTGTGGAGTGTCCAGCTGCAGCCGCCCAGTCTGCTGCCAGACCACTTGCTGTAGTACAACTTGCTGTCGCCCCTCTTGTTGAATTTCTTATCTGAATACCAGTCCCCAGGCAGTCATAATGACAGTGAGCTGAACTTTTCATCCATGTATTAAATAATTCCTATGTTTGTTGTCCTGAAAACAATAAGAAAGTGGCAGAAGAGAATCCTACATTAAGCACTGCCCATATTTCCCAAGGATCTTCCCTCTACATGCGCGTCTCAGATGCATGGTGCAGCCAAACGTGTCCCGCAGGTCTCCAGCTTTCCTGGATTTCACCATTCTGTGCTGACTATTCTTCAATAAATACTGCTTTATAGTAGACATATATGTATCTTCTTTCATTTATTTTAAGAGAATTAATAAGCCGGGCGGTGGTGGCGCACGCCTTTAATCCCAGCACTTGGGAGGCAGAGGCAGGCGGATCTCTGTGAGTTCGAGACCAGCCTGGTCTACAAGAGCTAGTTCCAGGACAGGCTCCAAAACCACAGAGAAACCCTGTCTCGAAAAACAAAACAAAACAAAAAAAAAGAGAGAGAATTAATAGTTTAGTTTTCTAGTATTATTCCTTCCAAGGTTACCATGGCCAGGAAGAAAACTAGTCTTGCTAGTGTGTTAGAGGTATGCGTGGTCTCACATTTATTGCAGCTTTATTCACATTGGCTGGGGAGCAGAATTAGCCTGTGTCAATCAACTGATGAGTGGCAAATAAAATGCCTTTTACATAATGGAATGCTGCTTACTCATAAAACAGGTGGAGTCTTGTAACTTGTGACACCATGGTTAGAACTGGACAATGTTAAGTGAAACCAGCCAGATATAGAAAGAAAACATGCATGGTGTCACTCAAATGTGGAACCTTAAAAATAATAAAAGATCTCAGATGCTGAGAGTAGAAAAGAGGCTCTGAGATTCTGGGAAGAATAGGGAGGCACAAGTGAAGCATACCTGGTTCACATGGTGTAAAACAATTAGATAAAAAAGACTGTTCTGGCGCTGGAGAGATGACTCAGTGTTTAAGAGGCCTGGCTTCTCTTCCAGAGGCCCTGGGTTTGAGTCCCAGAATCCACATGACAGCTCATAATGGATGATCCGCACTCTCTTGTGGCCTCCACGGGCACCAGGCATGCGCATAGTATACTAACAAACATGTAAGTAAAACACATATAGATAGAATAAATAAATAGAACTTTAAAATGAAATAGTTACAGTGTTCAGTTGCATAGGAGAGTTGCCACAGATGGTAAATAGTTTATATTTCAAAACAGCTGGAACAAAGGATACTGAATATTTTCACCAGCCAGAAATAATATATATTTGAGGATGCAAATATATTAACTCAGATTTAAGCAGTGTCACGTACGCACATAGAAGTATCACATAGTACCCCATAAATATATACAATTTTATATATCAGCTCAAAATCAGAAAAGAAAACTGATTTTGCACATATAATATACTTTTCATATTATAGGACTATTTTTCAGAATCATATGACCTACCTTATTTAATTAACGATAATTTTCCTTTTCAATCCATAAGATGATTGGCAGACTCACAGGGTCATTGGACTTTGAGAATAATAAGGCACATGAAGACCAATAGTTTCCAAAAGAAACTCACAATTTAGTCTTCAAAATAAAGACTTAGGAATAAAAGGAAGGACCAAATAGATAGGATATAATGGGGAAAACTTCTGTTCCAGAGTGCAATATGGAAGCATTTTTTTTACAAATTGTAAACAAAGTGAGTTAAAAAGCTAGTAAATACTAGGGAATTATGCAGGTCCCAAGGCAGAAGAGAAGGTGGAGGAAGAGGAGTGATGTGGGAGTGTCATATATCAATCTGTTGATTTCATTGGTTAAGCAATAAAGAAACTGCTTGGCCCTGATTGGTTAAAACATAGGTGTGAGGAGTAAACAGAACAGAATGCTGGGAGGAAGAGGAAGTGAGCTCAGAGACGCCATGCTCCCCTCTCCTGGGTGAACGCGGGGCTAGCTCTGCTCTCTGAGGCACACGCGATGAAGCTCCGACCCAGGATGGACGTAGGCTAGAATCTCCCTGGTAAGCCACCTCGTGGGCTATACAGATAATTAGAAATGGGCTAGTCCAGGTGCGAGAATTAGCCTAGAAGAGGCTAGATAGAAATGGGCCAAGCAGTGTTTAAAAGAATACAATTTGTGTGTTGTTATTTCGGAGCATAAGCTAGCCATGTGGGTGGCCAGGGTGCTGGGGACGCAGCCCCGCAGCTCTTATCACTACAGAGGAGGAGGCTGCACCTGAGGTTGTTTACGTTGTTGTTAAAATGAAAGACGTAAAATGAGGCAAGAGATCAGCAAACACGGGGAGAGATATGGCAGAAAATGGACTATGCTGCTCGCTCCCCAATGGCCTTCACATCCATGACACTGTGCTAAAATAAATCATGAGCACACGAGGAAACTCTCAGTCAGAGGTGGAGTGCAGGCAGACGAGTGATAACTCCAGAAAGGGTTGAGGGACGAGATTTAAAACCAGGCAAGGAAAATGTCGCATGAATGGACCATCGAGGTGACTCAAAGGGTAAAGGTACTTGCTGCCAAACACAGGACCCACATAGTGGCAGGGAGGAAGGAGATAACTGACACTCACAGCTGTCCTCTGACCTCCACACACATGCAGTGACACACATGTGCACCCTCTACACAAACACGCACACAGAAAAAAAAACCCAAAGTGAACCAAAAAACAATTGAAAATTCACAAGAAAGGAGAACTTGGGTTGTGTTTGAAAGTTGTGCTCGGAGTGTGAATTTTTGGGATCGTCTTAGAGCCTGCAAAATCTGTGAAAACTCAGCTAGGCTTGATCAGACCCAGGTGAACAAACAAAATACCTCCGAAAACCAAGTCCCTGGCTTTGCTTGGTCTGTCTGAAGCTACTTCTACCAAAAACCACACTTGATTAAAACAAAAACTCAATAGACTGAAGTTATCTTAAGGGAAGGACTAGTAAAACACTTGAGACTGTCTGCAATGGGGGAAACTTATCCTTCTGGCAATGATAACAACTGAGAAGGATGAAAGGTAGAGCCAGCGGTGTGGTAGGCAGTGATGGCAGAATTTAGAGCTGAAGGGGCAGATCCAGTGGGAAACCACTAAGAATGGGGAGCCACATGACTCGTGGCTGGGAGGTAGGGAGTTGAGGCTAGAAGGGCTGTTGGATTTCTGCCACTGAGAAGCTTAATTATCAGAACCTAATTATGTGTAATCAAACACATAACTGTCAGCATTTGTCTGTGATGGGCAAAGTGATTGTAAGACCAACTCCTATTTCATCTTCTTGAGAAGACGGGACATCAGACATAATTGGATTTAGAATATATTCTTACTGGCAAACTTTGAGTAGGCATTGAATCAGAAGAGAAGGTCATTGCCTTTCCTAAGCTTCTCCCAGAACAACTTGGACATATTTTTTTTAAATACAGGCTGCCAATATTGTACTACTGAATGTTCTGTGTCTGTTGGTGAACCCAAGTCTCAGAAGCAGTACTTGCCTTTAGCTGCTAAGCCCAGGAGGCCTGACAGACATTTTCTGTGGAGTAGGGATCTGGAGATCAGCCCACCCATCTTGGCAGGATGGGACAATTGAGTCCCCAGTGTCTTATTGTCTAGTCTCGGCAGGGTCTAGGCAGTGGAAGAGGTGAGAGGCAGGTTTTTTTTTTCTGTGTGACTGGCCCTGCCACATCCAAAGCACGCCTCCAAGTGGAGTTTCTTCTGCAGCCGTCTGCCTTCTTGAAGGAGATAAATAGGATGCTGCCAGGAGATGTCGTGTTTCTGTGTCATAAAAAGCTTTTGCATTAAATGCCAAATGCCATACTCTCACATCTGTAAAGGTGCTTGAGGGTATCATTGTAATGGTCTGTCCTGTCCCTTTAAGAGACAAACCCCTTTCCCCCCTCCTCTGATCTTCCTTTCCCTTCTTCCCACTTCTTCCCTTCACCCCCTCTCTGTTTCTCTCTCTCTCTCTCTCTCTCTCTCTCTCTCTCTCTCTCCTCTCTCTGCTTCTCTCTGCTCTTCCGCCTTATCCCCTTCCATCTTTTCTCTTCCCTTCTATAACCCACTAAATAAATATCTAACCTCACTCTGCAAGACATGTCTAAAAGTCTCTATCTCTCACCCACCATGTGACTCCCTGCCTAGGACCCACTTATCCCCGTGGCCCATGGGCCACTCAGGGAACCATAGTGGATTACTACCGCAGCTACTCGTGGCCCACTGCCCCACTGCCCGCTACAGCCACTCGGGGAACAGTGCTATTTTATTTTTACCATAACGATCATTACCTGTTAGGTATATCTAAATTAGACAAATGTTGTTTAGGCTTAACTTTGAGAGCATATAAGTTAAATCTGGGCATACAGTTTATGCAATTAGTTACAACTTACCAATGTTAGTAAAAGCAAGATGATTAGAAGGAAAATTTCAGTCTCCAGTTTTCAGCTGTTGTCCTGAGACCTAGAGCATAATAATAATCTATAGAAGGCAGAACCAAGTTTTAACATTGTAAACAATTTAGTGTTCTAAATGAATAATAGCAAGGGGTTTACTTTTAGGTTACAAAATCTGGCTGCCAATAAGACTCATTCCTATATATAAATGCAGAGGTGCAGCTTTAATATCTCAGTAAGGCAGCATTGTTTTGAACCTTATCCTTGATAAACCTTGTCTTTAGGACAGGGCAGGAATTATCGTATAGAAACATATCCAAACCCAAAGTATATTGGAGACAGAATGTCCCCTTGGTGGGACCAATGCATGTTATTACCTTTACTAAAGGTAGCAATGGAGTCATATGGCTTAAACCAAAATGGCAACTATTCACATGGTCACCCTTCGTAAAGATGACAATGAGGTTTCTGTTTTGATCTCAACCAAGATGGAGGGTGGCCACATATTTGTTCTTTTCCAGAGCAGTTCTAACGTGGAGTCACCAGTTTTACAGATTTTATTATATCAGATTCAGCAAAGCTCAGAGACTAAACACATGGAACATGCAAAGCGAAC